GTTCGAAGATTTAAAATATTGAGTAACTCTTCGCTTTTCAATTAATAATTGGGAATAGCGCCAATACCAACCAATGATATTTTAATAAAGATTATTCATTTTAATAATTATAAAAATATTTTTAATGAATGAAAATTAATCATTAATCCCCATAAATATCCTCACACCACTTTTGTCCAACTTGAAATATTACCATTTCTGACAACTCTCTGTGCTCTATTTTTAAGCCATTGTTCTACAAAAGAACAAGAATTTTCATCTAGACCAATTTCTTTAATTTGAACACGAACCTATTATGAAGAGCCATATCAAATGTCTTGGCAAAACCCAAGTAAATTATATCCACTGCAACACCCTGATCTATACTTATGCTTATTTCTACAAAGAATACAATAAGGTTAGTTTGACATAAACTTTGTTTCATAAAGCCATACTGATTATTGCTAATAACACTGCTCCTTGCAAAGGATTCTTGAATTATTTCCCTTAATAACCCTTCAAATACTTTTGCAGCCAAAGAAGTTAAACTCACAGGTCTATAGTTTTCAGGCAGATAACCATTTTTGAATATAGGAACCACATCTGCCTTCCCCCAATCCTCCGGTAGAATTCCTGAGAGAAAAGAATCTTGAAAGATTAAATACAGACGTTCACTTATTTCCATACTTGGCTCCTTAAGTACTCGTAGGTGAATACTGTCAGGCCCCTGGGCTTTGTTTACTTTAACTTTCTTTAGTTGCAGTAGCACCTTGTATTAAGTCATCCAATCACAATTTTTCTGCAACTTTTTTGCAGCAATCATTTGCATATCTCTTACAATAGGATTCTCTTTAATAAGAAAACTAGTTATTTAAAATTACTGCCTTTTCCAGGTTTTCATTAACTAACATGCCCATCTCTGTTTTCAGTGTACCTACACTTTCATTTTTTGGTTTAGTTGAGAGAATAAGTGTGTGGCAAGTCTGCTGGTAACTGAATACCTATATAGGTATATTGTTGTGTCAAATCAGTTATTTTAAATGGTGGCCCCATCGGTATGTCATGCCAGCTTGAGGGTGCATAGTTGTGAGAGGTTTCAACTTGTGGCGTTTAGCCAGAATCGACAGAAGAGAGCACTTGGTAGAATGCCTGTGGAGCAGAGTCAAGTTTTGGCGCACATTTTCTCGTTTCTGCCATTATGGCGTCTTTGCTAAATAATGTAGCAGGAAGATCATGTCTCTGGGTGTGAGTTGGCTGTGGATTGGGGGTTTCGGAGCCGTGTGAGCCCTGTCTATGGTTAGTTCTTGTGGGGTCACCTCTGGAAAGGAGGAGAGGCACAAAGACTTTCTGCAGAGTCGGGATAAGCGTGCCCACTGTGATGGTCTCCAGTAGGCCCTTGATCCGGATATAATTGCAATGTTAGTGGTTGTTGAGGTCTTCCACCCCATCCTCAAGCATTGGAGTGAGGTGCCTTGGACAGTAACGGTTTCCAGCAGTTCATCTGCCTTTTGTTCAACCCAGCCTGTTCTCTTTCCCAGATCTGCAACTGTATTTGCTTTTTCAGCTCAGCAGCCATGTGTGTTTTGATGTCGATAGTAGCCTCATGGAAGGCTCAGGCCCTGACAAGCACCACTGTGCTCCAAATCTGAAGCAGATACATCCAGTCTTTGGAAGTAATATGGCTTCGGGTCCCTCGGGAACAGAACAGGGACGCTATTGAAAGTGTGAGGTCACTTTTTTTGTGGCCTCCCCATTGCAGAAAGCAGTGTTGAGATGTTTGTGTTGCGCCCAGGAGCAAGGTAGGGTCAGTGCTCGTTCCAAACAGTGGTAGGTAGCTTTTTAATTGCCGGGGTTACATGAGCACTTTCATATGCAGCCATTTTGATGCGCGGTCAGGCTCCGCCCCAAATTCTTTATATATATATATATATATATTTTTCTTTTTTTTTTTTTACAAATTCGGATACTGCAGAATTCATATAGGAAAACAAAACAAAAAGAACTAAACTGGCCCCTATACAAAGCTATATAAAAAAAAAAAAAAATTCAAAGATTGTTATACAGCTACTAATCCGTCAGTCACCCTTAAATTTATCCTGGAGACAAATTTACTATATAGGCTGGTAATGGAAAGAGAATCTATTTCACCCTATTTATTTAAGACGTTATGGCTACCACCAATAAGATTAGAACATTTAAATTGGTTCCCTAAAACTAAATTAAAAAGCCAATTATGGACTACATTATATGACAATATTAATTTATATCAATCCTGTTCTAGAGCTTTTGCAACTGGCTATGGTTTTCGCTCTCAATCCACATTTCAATATTGATTTGGATTCATGCATTAATTTTCTATCAAACATTTAAATAGTTTTTTTTTTTTTCTAAGAATATACTAATTTAATGACACTTTTAAGACTAAATAACTCAAATGATTAATCTCACAATATAATTCGATCATAGCTATATTACAAGAAATATATCACACATATAGACCAAAAATCGGATTCTTTAAATTATGCATACATTTAGAAAATATCCATTTACATTCCTAACCAGACTGTCATCTGGTTTTAGTCTGAAGTAAGAATTTATGTTGACTCAATGTGCAAACCATTTGGTTTTGTAGAGGTGGGATCTAGTTCTGACATGGGTTCCAATAATGTTTCCAAGTAAATCTGATAAATGTTGGAGGAATTGTGGTGAAGCAGATTTTATCACTTATACAAATTATTGACCCTGATATTGCGACTTTCTCCTTTTTCTGTTGGGATTATTTCAAACTCTTACGACACTACACCAACCTGCATTTTTTACATTTTACACATTAATTGCTGCTAATTCAGCTATCCCAAAGAAATCCACGAATATTCAGACTGAAAAAAGAAATAGTAATTAAGGAAAACAAAGGTTAAGAATTAGTAAATCAGGCAATCGTCTAAATCTGGAGTTCTTGGGAAAAAACTGTGAAAGAAAATTATAACATTTGGTAACTGGTGAATGTTTTTTAGAAAACACATTTTCATAGCAAATACTATGAAAATCTCGAGAAACTATACGTCTTGAGTGATTTGTTTAGACAAGAACGGATTGTAAGAGTCAGGTTTATTATATTTGCATTCCAGAATTCCTTCCTTTTCCACTTGATTTTCATTTTATTGTTATTCATGTTTTGGTTATAACAAAAAAAAAAAAAAAATGTTGTCATTACATTATTATAATATAAAAAATATATATATTATAAATTTATTTTTTTAAATGAAAAAAAAATTTTTAAAAAAGATTTGAAAAGAACCAGAATATTACAGATCAGGAGAAATAAGATACCTGTACACAGCTTCTGCAAGCGCTGCCCACATTCTGTTTCTATAACTGCAACCCTTTTACATTAAACAAAATACCACATATTACTATTGCCAGTGATATCTCCAGTGTTTAATTACATTCTGTCTCCAGATTCATCCCTGCAACAATATCCCACAGCAACCTAGTTCAAATATTGTAAACATAGTCTGCCGGCAATTAAAGGTACAAGTCTATCAAAATTGAAACTCCATGTTTAGTACATTTTTCTTCCCAAAATATCTTCTAGTAATTTGCAACTACTTGGATATATATTAGAACATTTTCATATATTTTGTAAATCACAGAAAGAAACTGTACAACCCACAAGGGCAGCCTTGAACAAAAATACAGATTAAAGGAATAGCACACACAAATGCAATTTTTTAATCTTAAATCTAAATAAATCTTTTTGGCTTAGCCAAATACCAAGATTTAAAGAAGTACTAAATAACGGGGGGGAAATAAAAGTGCTGACTTACAGGGCACTTACTCTCATATGTGCTATGTGCTCAAATGTTTAAAGTGCACATTATACAATTGGTGCAAACTAAATGCATAAATCTTATTTTACGGAAAAAAGTGCTGTTGCAATAACATGCATCAGCCAACTATGTTTTACATCAACAAGCAAACATGAAACTGATAAATAAATGTATAAATAGTGCACAAGTAATATACCTCATCTGTTTCCTTTGTCCTCCCAGTGCTCATCTGTCTGAGTGGCACACAGCAACACATGGGAGTGCCCTGGGAGGGCACATGTTTTAAATGATATTGCACTACATTAGTGTTATTCACTAATTCGGACTGCAAAAAAAAAAACATTGTTGATTAAATTCAATGTCCGGATTTTGTAAATCAAGCCCCAAACGGGCTTGAATTTTATTCAGATTTCTGAACGCTGCCGTACAATGGAGATACGGACCATATCATTTAAATCTGTGCCCAGAGGCTTCAACTCCAGGACTAAAATTTTTTTATTTTTTTAAAGTTTCAATCAAAACAATTTGAATGCTGGCAGCAGCCAGAAAGCAAATAGTTAAAAGCCCTTGGTGTCTTGAAGGTTAATCAAGTGGTGGCGGGCTAGTAAAATATAAAAAAAAAAAATTAAAATTACAAATTATGAGGGTTACCAAGACCACTAATAATACTAGAGTTGAAGTTGTAAGTCTCCATATGTCCCCATAATGCATCAGGTGGGATAAAGTCTGCTAAATGTTTAAAACTAGTGACTATGCAGCCATTAGTGTCGGGGCATATAGGGGGGCATTGGGGGAGGTAACCACATTATCCTAATAATAAAGTGGGAGGGGAGGTTAATATGTATTAAGGAAGGGAACTATTACCCCCACCCATGTATGACACACTAGGTCTCTAATATTTAGAATAAAGGGAGTGGGGGACATATTGGAAAAAGTTTTATTTAACAAAAAAAAAAAACACAAAACTTTAAGCTCAGTTGTTATTCTACAAATCTATGTACACACACACACACACACACACACACACACCCCTATGTCTTTCTAATAGTATATATCAAAATTAGCTCTCATAAAGCTATTAAACCAATAGGAAAACGTATTTTTCTAAATGTTACATTTTCAACTGGTTGCAAATAACTTTTTTTGTAAATGTAGCAGACTTCTGCACAAATCTACTTGAGCTGTGTTTGACAAATCAAATGCCTGCTAATTGATGAACAGATTCTACATTTCTTTCAAATATGCAATTTTCTCGGTTGAATTAGGTAATTTTATACACTTTCAATCAAAACAATGCAACAGTTTCCAACGAATGCCGTTTATTTTACAATGTTTGGAATAACATGATGAAATAAAATCAATAAACCATTTCCGAATATTTAAATTGAACCTTTTATGCACAAAGTGTGTGGAAGGCAAGGTCAGCATCAAGTAACTATTCAAATTCAAGAAATACATTATGCTAGTTAACACACAAATGTATCGATTAACATATATTTACCTGAAGCTTCCTTCCACTTCCAAAAACATGTGTGCCTCTGATAGCTTATATATGGCAACCAATAATTAATAGGGTTCAGCTGCATGCTTGGCAGCATTGTGAAATTCTCGGGCACATTGGGGTGTGCTAAAAAGCATACAGCCACTAAATTGGCCATGTTTGTAGTTTTTGGGTACTTTCTGACAGCAAGGAGGGCTTAAAATAAAAAATAAAATAGATATTCAACTAAAACTGAAGCTATCCATGCACTAGCAATTTGGTAGTTAATTGGCAAGTGTAATAATATTCTCTAAAAAAAAAAAAAAAAAATTATACTATGCTGTTTTGCATGACAGGTACACTTTAAACAAAAATAAATTTTCTCCAAAATATCAAGAGGGAGTGCAACGTTCATCACTTTGATCTTCTCTAGAACAGTTGGGTTCTTCTTACAAAAAGTAAAAAAAAAAAAAAAAAATTTTTAAAAAAAAATTAGTTTACATCCTTCTTTTCTGTGTGCTTATATACAAGACTGAAAAGAAAAAAAGAAAAATGTATATAAATATAACACTTGTTCTGTATACATGTCATCTTTTTATTGAAAAATTTACAAAATAAGAGCAAATAAATATGCACAACTGAAAAACAAAAGCATAAACACAAAGTGCAATCATAAAAGAAAAGCAAAACAGAATGAATCAAACCGTAGATTAAGAATCTTGAGAACGGAATATTTATCAAATATCAGCAAACCGTTTTATTTCACAACTGATCATTGTAATGTGTCCACGGTTTCCTTGAATTGTTCTACATATGTCAGGAATATAAACAGGACAATTCACTCATTTTAGTAAATTAAACACAAATTGCAAAAGGAGCTCATTTGAACAAATTCTCATATTGAGCTGTAGTCACTGGTTAGATCTTGCAATTCAGAGTTTAGAAAATGTTATGTTTAATTTTATTTTAAGGCACCCTTTGGCACTACATCTCCCCTGATGCTTTTCCTTCAACATGGCCGTAAAAGCATTATAGGATATGTATCCCACAACACCTGGAGTGCCAGTTTAAAAAAAGATCAGGGCAGCTTTTACAACATTATTTGAGCTACATAAACTCTGAAAAAACACATGGGGATAAATTGAATATCTTCAAATAAATATTAGAAAGTTACATTTCTCAGTATGTACTATTGGTTAACAAATACAAAAGAAACACATTGTAATCAATGTAGCTTAGTGAGAAAGTAAACAAACAAAAAGTAAAATAAGGAAAGAGCATAAAAAATAAAAATATCAGAGGCCTCCTATGAAAAAAGATAAGGAAGCCAATATTGCATGCAAAAAGGCAATTAGATTGGTTATCACTTTCTCATTTTACAGTTTTGCCAATGAGAGCAAAACCAAGCCAAAAACATTTACATAGACACCCAGACCACTTCAGCTCATTGGCGTGGTCTGGGTACAGGGTCCCTTTTGCACTTTGTGCTACAATGTTAAACAATGCAGTTCCACAGAAACTGTTTTCTCTTTTATACTAAATTGTATAAAAAAAATTGCTTTTAGCAAACAGTCCTATAAATTGTTATGGCATTACCATTATTTCCTCTGATAAATGCATCCCCATATTTGTTCTTAAGTTGTCCATTGACATATTCTTCTGTCTGTTCCAAAGCAATGTTCATATAGCCATCTAAACATGCCAGCACTCCTGCAAATGAAAAAAAATAAATCATAGTATATTAGTATTAGGGGTACATTAAAGGGACACTCCAGGCACCCAGACCACTTCTGCCCATTTTGCCTAGGTGAGGTGTTTTTAAATAAAACTATTACAATCTCTAAGATTTGGAATCATTGTTTAGTGAATAAGCGAGTGCGCTGGAGTGTGTGTGTGTATATATATATATATATATATATACACACACACATACACATACATACATACATATACATACATACACACACACGGTCTCAAATGCAACATAGGCCCAGCAAACTAAACTGGCAAATTTCAATGTGTAAAAGGGCAAGCTCTTTCTTTGACCTTGTAACTTTACAAAACACCATGAGACCAGTACATGGGGAGCATTGTTGTACTCATGGTACATCACAGCATGCAAATATTTGTGTTTTATTGCAGTAAAAGAACAGTATGAGATTCACAGTTAAACTGCCATGCAGAAGTTGGAAAATAAAGGGTCTCCATCTCACTTTTTTTTTTTTTAGATTTTATTCATATTAAATTATGTTTCATACATAAATATTTTATGTGAAATGAAAGCCCTGATTCTTCTAAACAAACAAATATATATATCTATATATATATATATATATAAAAATAAGTGTGGGTGGACTCAATATGAAAGAGGAAAATTATGGTTGAACAAACATATAGCTCAAATTCTAGGTTTTGTTTTGGTCAGACGTTGTACAACTGCCTTCATCCTTAAGGAATAACTCACATACTCTGAAATGCAAATTTATTTTGAGTAGGGCGCTTTTTTATTTTCTGCCTTTTTTTTTAAAATATGGAATCCCATGAAGCACATACAAAAAAAGGCACATAGGGAATAATCGTTAAATGAACTTAAGCTTGTGCATCTTTATTTTCCCCTTAGTAGGTATTATTGTGCATGCATCCTTGGCTGCTCTGCAAATAACGTGAAGTTAACGTCGGCATTCTCAGAAAAGGGGTTAGAGCTCTAGGTGAGCCCCAGGTTGTCACTACTTGCAGAAATGTGTCAACACATTTTGAATCATAACCACTACAATTCACTGTGTAGTGTACATTGTGCTTAGAAAGAACATGTAACAGGCAATATGGACAACCAGGAGATCTTAAAAGTTTATAAATACAGTTTAAATTAATTCTATAAAACACGATTGTAGAAATGCCTGTAACAGTTCATTACCAAGTTAAAAAAAATAATACAAACACTGTCTGAAAGAAATTGGAAACTGTAAATACTAAGGAAAATCCAGCAAGTGGTGATGCTTTTACAAGACTGTTTTATGAGAGTATATATATTTGCTAAATACTGTTGCAGGTATTTCTATTTTATACGTTTATTACAACAATGAGAACTACACACTATCAAAACAGATGTCTCTTTTGCTGCACACTTTTAAAGTAAAATATGGTAACCACTGCAACTGTTAGGAATACCAATACGCTTTATCACAGAGATAAAGATGAGAAAAAAAAAAAAGTTTATCCCCGACTTACCTCTATAATCCACTCCAGAGTTAAGTTTCACAACCACTGGTCTTCCAATGATCTGCTTCAGGAAGTCACTTGGGGTTTGCTTCCTAAGGCTCATTCTGAATTCTTTTACAGACAAATATAACCAGGAACAAAGCCATGAGGAAACAAAAAATGTAATTTTAGCACAACAATTTTTGGATAACGTTACTTTAAATAATCCACAGTTTTAAGAAACTTTCTTTCCATACATTTTAAAATAAATGCACCAAAACAGGCCAATATTTTTAAGCACTCAAGCTATATACCGTATATATACACGTGTATAAGTTGATCTCATGTATAAGTCGAGTGCAGTTTTGTGACCGAAAATTGTGAAATATGCTATGCCTCGTGGATAAGTCGAGGGTAAAACTTGGGGCTATGAAATTCTGTGATTTTTATAATTATATACACACACACTCATATAAACACACACTCTGCATTATATACACACACTCATACATACACACACTCTGTGTATATAATGCAGAGTGTGTATATAATGCAGAGTGTGTATATAATGCAGAGTGTGTGTTTGTGTAGTGTGTGTGAACTGGGTGGGGGGAGGGCATTTTTAATATTTTAATTTTTTTTTATTTTAATATTATTTTTTTATTATTTAAAAAAAAATTGTCCCACCCCCCTCCCTGCTTGTTAACTGGTCAGGGAGGGGGGCTATCTTAATCCCTGGCAGTCCAGTGGCATGGGCTGTGAAGTGGGGGGGCCGGCAGGAAGCATTTACTTACCTTTCCTGCAGCTCCTGTCAGCTCCCTTCTCCTCCGTTCCAGTCAGCTCCACTGTAAGTCTTGCGGTCTGGTTGCCGCGCGGATCGTTGCCATGGCTCTGACGGCCACGGCTCTCTAATGTTGCCATAATACAGACAGTGACTCAAGTATAAGTCGAGTGGGGGGTTTTAAGCACAAAAAATGTGCTGAAAAACTAGACTTATACTCGAGTATATACTGTAATATGTATCAGCATTTCTCTAACTACCTAATGTCAACTGTCATGCACATTACTCAGCCTGGTGAAACTCAGAGTGGATAACTCAGGGCTCGACAAATCCCAGATGCCATGGCAACTAAGAATTTCGTTTTGGCACCTGGGATTTGTCAGCCTGTTCCCTCCGCCTCCTGTCTCTCGATCACAGTCGCTGCGGGAGGAAGTGAACTGTAACTTCCTTCTACCGGTTCTGAGGCCGCGCAGGGGAATGACAAGCTGTCAAGAGACCAGATTTGTCTACTTACCGCCCGCTACGGCCCGCACATTCCGCAAAGCCATTCGCACGCAAGCATATTCCACAGAGTCGTCTGCCCACTCATTCCCCTGCGCTGCTTCAGTAATTTAGTTTACTTCACTTCCTCCTGGCACTCAGAGAGCTGCATGGGGAGTCAGGACCAGCCGCAGCCCACTGCCATTAGCCGCATTAAGCTGCAGTGTAACCTGCTGCTGGCCAGTCCCACTGGACCCCAGCAAAACCACCCATCTGCACCCACAAGGTAGGGAACAGGAGGGTGGTTAAAATATGTATTTTTTTGTGTGTATGTATGTCTGTATGAATAATATATATATATATATATATATATATATATATATATATATCTCTATTTGGGTGTTTAAAATAATATTTTGTGAGTGTGTGAGAGAATGTGCGTCAGTAAGTGTGTGTACTTTCGTCTGTATGAGTGTATCTGTTGGTCAGTGAATGTGTAGGTTTAGGTCACCAGCTCCTCTCCGATCGCATGGGAATGGTGTCTTTACTTACCTCTTTCCCCCCCCCAACGGCGTACCCATCTCATTGCGACTGGCAAGCCTCCATAGTTGAGATTATCAATCTTGATTAACTCAGCCAATACAATGCTTTCCTATAGGAAAAGCATTGGGAAGCTATTGAGCATGCGCGGCAAAATGCTGCACCAATCAGCATCTCCTGATAGAGATGCACTGTGTTAATGCAACTCTATGGGAACGTTCAGCGCCTCCATGCAGAGCGTGGAGATGCTGAATAAAGGACAGGACACACTTTAGTGGCTGTTTGAGGGGTAATGTAAACACTGTCTTTTCTCTGAAAAGGCAGTGTTTACATTGGAAAGACTGCAGGAACAGGCTATAGACACCAGAGACCCAACATTAAGCTACAGTGGTTCTGGTGACTATTTCGCCTCCTCCCAATATACTAAAATCTTACCTTATTTCCAGTTCCGCATGGGTCTGCCATCACAGTTTCCACTTCCTTCAGAAGTGATGATCTCAGCCAATCACAATACAATACTTTTCCACAGGAAAGCATTTGATTGACTGAGATGGTCAATTCATATGAGCTCAGCTAAGGGTGTGGTGCAGGACAGAGCCAAATGCTACCCCGACTAATGGGCATCTCCTGAATGAATGCATCTCTATAACGGAAAACTGTGTCTCCATGCAGAGAGTGGAGACGCTGCATGTGCAGAACTGACACAGGAAGCACCTCTAGCGGTTTCAGGAGTGGCTACTGGAAGTGCAGAGTAAAATTAAACACTGCCTTTTCTCTAAACCGGCAGCATGTAGATTGGTCAGCTTGCATGGAGCTATTATACTCACCAGAACAACTACATCAATCTGTGGTTGTTCTGGTGACTATAATTTCCCTTTAAGAAAAAAAAACAAAAAACATTATTGTACTATTATTGCAAAAAAGCAGGGACACCAAGTGTTAGAAATACAGGTGTTACTCTAACACCATCATTAATGTGTGCAGCACACACACATATATGTATTAGCCTTTTAAATATTATTTATGACTTGAGTTTGTCTTTTCTAACTTTTCAGTTACCTTACTTAACCCCTTAAGGACACATTCCCTTTTATTCCAGAAGGTTGATCCTTAATGGGTTAATATATGAACTAAATAGGAATGAAAACACCCAGCAGCAGTCAGGAAGACTAGCACCATGACCATGTAATACACACAGGACACGAGCCTGGACAGCATGCTCCACTGGGGTCTGCTTCAACATGGTGCCATCTGCTCGCTGCAACTAGGGCTCTCCCTTTACACAATGCCTCCTGCATCTACAAAACACACACACCCACCCATACCCATACACACACACACCCACACACACAGTGTAACCCGGACTATCCGCACACACACACTGTAACCAGGATCACAGTACTCTCACCTCTCCTGTAGCCCAGCCGATCTTTCCCTCCTCCCGCGTCTCACTGTCTCCGCCCTTTCTACGGTGGACAGTAAGGACCAACAAACACCGCTAAACAAACCACGCCTTCTACTTCCTGCTATGACGCATAGGAAGAAGACAATTCCCAACAACCAATCAACGTACTCTTCCTGGTGTAGGCGATGGCGGAGGCGGGGTTTATTGTTAACCTGTCTCCTGGGCCCCCGGATGAGAAAGTATTGTGTCTGGGATGGAACGAGTGACGTCACTGTGGAATGCGCTCTGCAATCCTACAATACCATAACAATATTTACAGAGTCCTGTCCTCACAGCTATGGGCTACGGGTCCCCTTAGGGCAGAAGATGTAATGTTGCTAGCTAAACATTATTATAGTTTTATAGTATTGTCAGCTTTCTCCACTCATCCTCATTAACCCCCATTAACCCCCACTGAACAAGTGAAGAAACCATAGCACACTTTTTTAAAGTCAGGATTTAGTTGGTCCTTCAGCAATGGGTTACACTCTGCCACCGTCACCTGATAGGGGGACCTAATGTGCATGCGCAGGAAGTGCTGGATGCATTAGTCCTTCCTCATTGGAAAGCATGGAATCAATGTCTTCCCATGTGGTTTTGCGTGACCTCAATGTCCTCTTGCAAAATTGACTAGCAACGTTGATTTTGCAGAAAGTGCCAGTAGTGTCTATTTCTCTAAAACTACAGTGTTTTACATTACAGGTCTAAGAGGGACAGGGACACTGCACCCAGACCATTTACTATTATTATTTTTGGCATTTATATAGTGCCTACTTATTACACAGTGTTTTACAATATTAGAAAAAAAAGGGATATTTAACAATAAATGACGCAATTACAAAATGTTGAAGGAACAATAGGTTGATGAGGACCCTGCTCAAATGAGCTTACATTCTATAGGACGTCAATGAGATGAAGTGGTCAGGGTTCCTATAGTGTCCCTTTAAAATGTGAACTCTTGGGAATTCAAAGCTACTTTGCAATTTTAAACCACAATAGCAAACTTGGAATCTCATAGTTGAATTTTGAAATTAATTTTGAACTCCCAACAAGTCACACATTGCTGAATAACACTGCATGCTACTCAGGATCCATCATTCTTAAAAAGGAATTATCTTACCTGTAGGTGACGGTTCCTTGTTCCCTCATCCAAGTAAATGTAAAATATTGCAGCAGAGGCAGATAAAACAAACAAAAATCACCAAATATTAAAGATAATCATAACATGCAAAAAGTGTGCAATTTATCAATTTTAAATGTTTCTTGTTTTTCTTCTTTTGCCAAAGGTCCTTATTAAAATAATAATATTTTTTTGCAAGCGTGAACGTATGGCAGTGAGGCCCCAATTAAAACCAAAATAAATAAAATTTGTAAGTCTAATTACAAATAGACCTAATGGTTTAGAAAATAAAATTGACAATAGTGTAGTTGAACAGAAAAACATTTTCACAGTAAATATGCAATGTAACACAGAAGCCTGTGGTAGCCAGAAATTATCACAATTACTCCAATGTGGAAAGGTGTGTACTGTTCCTTTAATTAATTAAGCTCTTGAATAGACTTTTTGCATAGTTGCCAACATTTGAAAAAAATTTCCAGGGACACTTTGCAGCACAGCTATCAATTACTTCTTTAAAAATGTACCACAAGGCTCTGCCCAATCCAAATAATTAATCTCCGCCTACTTATCATAGTGCAGATTATAGGGTCTTCTCAATAAAGAGAGAATTACAGGGACTCGAGATGTAAATTTCAAACTAAAGGATCACTATAGTCATCCAGACCACTTCAGCTCAACGAAGTGGCCTGCGTGCCAGGTCCCCCAGGTTTTAACATAGCTCAGTCTTCCTGCTCCCTCGCACGCGCCGTCTGTAGTGATGCGGGGGGCCGGAATATGACATCATCACTAAACTGCGCGCATGAGGGAGCAGTGAGGAGCAGGTAGGAGACCTCCCGAGAGAAGATCCCCACTGGACCCCAGGGAGGGGCCCTACACCAGCTCCCAACGGTAAGGAACAATAAGTAAAATGATGTGTGTGTGCAAGAATGTGTAAATGTGTGTGTGTGTGTGTGTGTGTGTCTGTCAGTGAGTGTGTGTACCTGTCAGTAAGTGAGTGTGTGTGTGTATATCTGTCAGTCAGTGAGTGTGTCTATTAGTGAGTGTGTGTGTGTCTGTCAGTGAGTGAGTGTGTGCTGGTCAGTTTTGCGATGGCCGCAGCTGAACAGTGGAGGAACTGGAGGTGCACAGAGGCATGCAAGGCCACGTCAACGTGCTCCACCTTCACAGGGATTTAAGAAAGAGTGGGAGGATGCGCTTTGGCACAGGGTGCAGACAGCGCCATTGGGGGTATACCAGAAGCTGGACTCCAGAGTCGCATACTGGCAGCGGCAATGTGAGTGAAGTCTGCTTGTTGGCTAATATTGTTGTTTTTTAAAAAAAACAAGGGCCGGGAGAGGGACAACTGGGATTAAGTAGAGAGGGACAACTGGGATTAAGTATAGAGGGGGAGACTCGGATTTAGTATAAATGGGGGGGACTGGGGTTTAGTAGAGGGGGATGCTGGGTTTTTTTTTTATATATACTATACTTTTCAAAACAAACCTACGTTTCTATGAAAATTTTATTATTTTTTTTGCGGGCATCATAAACCTAAACCTTGTTTATTTGGCCTGTGCTAGCCTTTGAGTTTTAGATGCTTGGTCTACAGGAATACCTCCTATTTATGCAGGGCTGGTGCAACAATTTATGTTCACATAGATGAAGATGCATTTTGCTGTCCCCAAAATTCGTGTATACCTGTGTGTCTAATAATCCCCTCCCCTTTTGCCCATCTTACCCATTCTTTTGCCCCTTTTGTGCATCTTGCTGCATTTTTGCTTTTCTTTTACTGTTTTGCCTATTGTGTCCCCTGTTTGTCATTCCTTTAATGCTTTTGAGTCTTTATCCCACCTTTTGTGTCCTCTTATCCCTTTTTTGAATGTCTTTCCCCCTTTAATGTATCTTATCTATTTTTCCCCCTTTTGTCTCTAACCCACCTTTGTGTCTTTGTGCCTCTATCCCCTGTCGGATTTTCTTACTCTTCTCTGTAGCGTGTTTATACATATATATAATATAGCAACGGAATCATTCTCCGACACACACTATTGCTCAATGACCCATACTCACTCCCAATTACAAAGTTGTATTAATCTATACACACACATGCATTCACTGGCTCATACATAAACACACTGACACACAAACACGCTCACTGGCTCTTACACACATAGTGATTCTTACACACACACTGACTCTTACACACAACTGCTCTCTGACTCTTACACACACATTGACTCTAACACACACACTCACTGGCTCATAAACACACTGGTTCATATACACTAATACACTGGCTCTTACACAAACTCACTTATTGTTTCTTATAACTGTTAAACATTTGAAACATAGGTACCACCAGTAACCAGGTGTTGCTGCCCAATATTTTCTCTCCACAGCACTTGGCCACTGGGATATGATGTCATGTATCCCAGCAGCCCTTAACTCATATAGTAATTGGCCGCAAGCCAGGGCTGCTGCTCGCAGCTCTCACCCACCCCTCTGAGGCAGAGGCTGCAAATTTGGCCGGCACTATGGAAGGGGTGATTATTAACATGGGGATTCAGCATCTTTACAAAGAGTGGCTGCCGGGAAAGAGTTTTTTTGTACCCTCAACTCCCGCCATTCACCCGACATCTTTGCACCCCTCGAGTCGGGCCACCCTAAGGAGGCCACCTGTGCCCCTTTATGGTTGTGCCGGTCCTGTACTTATGTTGAACTTCTGAGACAGTATGATAATCCTGCACCCAGATGCATGTGTCCTTATCCAAGGACTCTTATGCAGACTGATCCAGGGAATGTTTATCAAGAATTAGCTACAAGATATGTGTATACTTTTGTTTTAGTTTTGATTTTTGTTTTCTCCAAATTTGAGGTCTTGACAGAATCTATATTGTAAGCAGGGCCAGATTAAGAGCCCTGTAGGCCTGGTGCTGACAATTATGACGGGCCTAATTACAGAATCATATCAACCAAAAACAGTAAAACACTCCCAAGCGTCATGTATCTGATGGAGATGGTGCTGGAGAGAAAGAAAACAGCAGCTATAAGAAAACACATACACTAGGCTAATCTCTCACTAATTTATGTTTTCATCTTTCAAGTAAATCCATAACCCCTAACAGCAGTGTCCAGTCAAGCAGGAAGTCAATGGGCACGGTAAAAGGGTGTGCCACTGGCACAAATCACGTAACCTGCCAAAAGGGGCGAACATGCCCACAAAGAGGATATGTCTGCCCAAAGAATTAGAAGGCCAGCCTGGTATGAATGCATGTCAGGCTGCCTGCCAATCATGCAGCTGGCCAACTAAGGGCATACTATGCAGACAGCACCCTGAGCTTGGCATAAATGCATCTAATGATGCGCTCGCTCAACGCTTTCTAAGGACTGTCCCCTAGCACTCGCTGGTCCACTTGTCTCCTTACCTTCTTACTAGCAGGCAGAAGCTCCTGGTATATAGTCTGGGACAGAGAAAAGCTGTATGTAGTGAGTGTAGAAGAAAGGGAACATGCCACAGTGTTAGAGAGACCAAAGTCAGCATTACCTTAAAGGATCACTATAGGGTCAGGAACACAAACATGAATCCATGACCCTATAGTGTTAACTCCACCATCTAGCCCCCCTGGGTCCCTCATGCCTCCATAAATATAGCAAAATCTTACTGCATTCAAGCCTGAAGCTGTAACTCTGCATGCTGTTAGACTCAGAAAAACAAGCAGTCTGTTGACATCATTAGAAGTGGTGGCCTAATCCAATCACAGTGCTTCCCCATAGGATTGGCTGAGACTGACAAAGAGGCAGATCAGGGTCAGAGCCAGCATGATTCAAACAATCTCCTCATAGAGATGAATTGAATCAATTAATCTCTATGAGGAAAGTTCAGCGTCTGCATGCAGAGGGAGGAGACACTGAATGTTTGGATGCATTTTAGGCAGTCATGACCCAGGAAGGATCTCTAACAGCCATCTAAGGAGTGGCCAGTGAAATTATCACTAGGCTGTAATGTAAAGACTGCATTTTCTCTGAAAAGACAGTGTTTACAGCAAAAAGCCTGACGGTAACGATTCTACTCACCAGAACAAATTCAATAAGCTGTAGTTGTTCTGGTGAGTGGCGTCTCTAGGATTCATTTTTCGGGGGGGCACATGGAGGGCCAGTGACAAAAGTAGGGGGGCACATTTAACCCCGCCCTCGTCGCAGTTTGACCCCGCCCCTGTCGCATGTTAAGCCACGCCCCCGACACAATGTGTTTTGTTTTTTTAATAATACCTGGTGGAGGATTCATTATTTTCCACCAGGGATTATTAAAAAAACAAACACATTATCCTTGATACAGTGCCATAGTTGCCAACATTTGAAAAAAAATTTCCAAGGACATTTTGCAGCACAGCTATCAATTACTGTCTGGGTATAATATCCCTGGACAGTCAGTGCTATCTGTATAATACAGGGTTGTGTGTATGATAAATTGGGACTCTCAGTGCTCCCTGTATAGTGCTGCTCTCTGTATAATACAGGTCTGTTTGTGTATAATATCCCAAGACAGAGAGCAGCACTATACAGGAAGCACTGACTATCCCGGGATATTTTATACACACAGATCTGTATTATACAGATAGCTGAGCATAAACCCCAATCTCTAGACTACTAGTACCTGTCAACAGCAGCTCCCAGACGCGTGTAACAGGGCTAAAGTGTGCGGCAGCTCACACAGATTATTCAGCGGTAAAGTGCACTCGCTGGCAGAGCCAAACTGGGAATCCCTGGGAATCCAAAGCAGCCCTGGAAAAAAAAACGTATGCCATTCCTACAAGTTAAAATATATATATATATATATATATATATATATATATATATATAGTACAGTAAGCACACAAGCTCACTGACATGCGCAAATAGGCTTACTGACAGACAAAACTCTCTGACTCACACACAAGCTTACTACAGACACTCACTTGTATAAACAGAAGGCTCACTACAAAGAAGTTCAGGGACACACACACAAGCTCACTAAAGACAAGCTCACTGACACACACATGCTCACTAAATAGAAGCTCACTGACACACACAAGCAGTACCATTTTAACAGAGTTAAGGGCCCCTGGGCAAAGCAATGCATTGGGGCCCTTCCTATACAACAACTCACAGGAATTTTAATTATTGATAGACTGCTGAGTCCATACACACACACAGACTGATGAGTCCATACACACACACACACACACTGCTGAGTCCATACACACACACAGACTGCTGAGTCCATACACACACAGATTACTGAGTCCATACACACACACACACACACACACAGATTGCTGAGTCCATACACACACACACACACACACACACACACAGACTCTGCTGAGTCTATACACACAGACTCTGCTGAGTCCATACACACACACAGACTCTGCTGAGTCCATACACACACACAGACTCTGCTGAGTCCATACACACACACACACACACACACAGACTCTGCTGAGTCCATACACACACACACAGACTGCTGAGTCCATGTACACACAGACTGCTGAGTCTATACACACACACACAGACTGCTGAGTCCATGCACACACACACACACACAGACTGCCGAGTCCACACACACAGACTGCCGAGTCCACACACACACACACACACAGACTGCTGAGTCTACACACACACACTGCCGAATCTACACACACACAGACTGCTGAGTCCATACACACACACACAGACTGCTGAGTCCATACACACACACACAGACTGCCGAGTCCACACACACACACACACACACACAGACTGCCGAGTCCATACACACACACACAGACTGCTGAGTCTATACACACACACACACACAGACTACTGAGTCCATACACACAGACCGCCGAGTCCCACGACACACACAGACCCCACTGAGTCCACACACACACACAGACTGCTGAGTCCATACACACACACAGACTCTACTGAGTCCATACACACACAGACTCTGCTGAGTCCGTACACACACACACAGACTCTGCTGAGTCCGTACACACACACACAGAATCTGCTGAGTCCGTACACACACACACAGACTCTGCTGAGTCCGTACACACACACACAGACTGCTGAGTCCATACACACACAGACTGCTGAGTCCATGCACACACAGACTGCTGAGTCCATGCACACACACAGACTGCCGAGTCCATACACACACACACACACACACACAGACTGCTGAGTCCATACACACACAAACAGCTGAGTCCACACACACACACACACACAGACTGCTGAGTCCATACACACACAAACTGCTGAGTCCATACACACACACACAGACTGCTGAGTCCATACACACACACACAGAGACTGCTGAGTCCATACACACACACACACAGACTGCTGAGTCCATACACACACACACAGACTGCTGAGTCCATACAGTGTGTGTGTATGGGGATAGTGTATGTGTGTAGAGTGTATGTGTATGGGGGGGCAGAGTGTGTGTATGGGGGGCAGTGTGTGGGGCAATGTGTGTGTATGGGGGCAGTGTGTGGGGCAATGAATGTGTATGGGGGCACTGTGTGTGTATGGGGGCAGTATGGGGAGCAATGTGTGTCTATGGGGAGCAGTATGGCAATGTGTGTGTATAGGGGGCGCAGTGTGTGTGTATGGGGGGAGCTGTATGGGGCAGTGTGTGTATGGGGGGCATGTATGGGGCAGTGTGTGTGTATGGGGGCAGTATGGGGGCAATGTGTGGGTATGGGGGGCTGTATGTGGGGCAGTGTGTGTGTATGGGGGGGCAATGTGTGTGTGTACACCCCCCACCCCCCAAGCCTACCTGTCACTGAAGGTCAGGCAGCTATCTTCTGAAGCAGCATGGGCTGCTGCTTTACGGCGGGGGCGGGGCTTATCGGCGGGAGGCGGGGCTTTGTTTGGGGGCGGGGCCTGTGCCGGGGAGCCAATCAGTGCTCCCTCCGGCCACAGACAGCCCCCAGCACCTCAGCACTGCATTCCCTGGCTGTAACAGGCTGTTACAGTCCGAGGGAAGCCCATAGCCAGCAAGTTGCTGGCATTTGGGGGGGCCCAAGGGGGGGCACAGCATGATGTAGGGGGGGCCATGGCCCCCTCTGGCCCCCCCCTAGTGACGCCACTGCCCAGAAGCGTGAGTCTGTAGCCCTTCCAAAGTCATCATCGTCCATATTCTCCCAGAATAGATCAGGGCCATTGTAATCCCCACACTCAGGGAATTCATACTCAGCTATCTCTGGAACAAGCTGAGTCGTGTACCACTGTAGCGCCTGGTATGCGTTGTCGAGCCACAGTTCACTGTATACTAGATCCTCTAGTTTAGTCACCCACACTGGAAGGGGTTGTTTGCCCAGGAGGGGCATCAGCTCTGCCATTCGAGCCTGGATTTGCTGCCCTCTGCTGATTCTACGATCACCTCGCCAACGCTGAACTTCCTGTAGGGCTTCTTCCCACAGCTCGGCTCTGGCCTCACTTCTGTACCCACACATCTCCTCTTCTGAGACTGCCCCATCTTTCCAGGATAGGAAGCCATGCAATCTGTTGAGGAACCTCTCCTCCATTTCGGCTGCTGTGCACGGACTTGCTGGCTCCATGCTGCTCTAGGTAGGGACGCTGCGCAGTGGCTAGCGTTGCCCTCAATACTCTCTCATACGATACCAGTGCTGTTGGGGTGCTGCTCCTTGCGCTAGGACGCCATCCCACCGCTTGCCACCAAAGTTACGGTTGCCTCCAGGCTGGCTGGAAGTTGGACCGTAGAAAAGGATGCTCCTAGCGCTCACCAAAGGACCATCAGCACCGTAGACACCATAACTACTGCATAGCCACCATAAGTACTGCAGACTCCACGAACCACCGCTGCTGGGCTGGTATCTCGCCGTCTGCTCTGTGCCCTGGACCCACGACCAGGCTCCAGGTTCCAGTAGGTGAACCTCTTCCTTCTGTAGAGTGAAGCAGGATCGGGAACAAGAGCTCTTACAAGAGCTCAGTAGCTAAGGGAGTATGAAGAGCATAGCAATCCCTGTAGTGATTATAGCTGTCACCTAGAAACATGAGTCAAGGCTGCAAGTAAGAGGGTCAAGTCATTCTGTTTATTGGCACACAAAGAACCTTCTTTTATGCAGGTTTACCTGAGATAGGACCACCCACAGGGTTTTACACAACAACCAATAATAACAGTACATTCCAGAAACACTCCCAGCAATTACATACAAAATCCTCCCCTCTGCCTGTGATCTAATTATGTTGCACAATGGGTTAACATAATTAAACACAGGCAGTAAAAATACAGTTTTTATCCATACACTGTAACTTTAAAACCATACATACAATCTTCATACAGATTTAGAATCAATCCATTCAGGGGAGCAACATATTAAAAAAATGGCACAAATCAGACAAGGGGTTCAAAAGTTAGCAAAAGTATCTTTTGGGGCCTGGCTGGCAGCATGGTTTTCTGGCCCAAACCGGATTTACAGCACCCTCTATCCTGGACAATGGGGAAAGTAATCCAATTATCCAGGGATAGAGGCAGACTCCATTAACCACATGTTAGCAAAAGACACAAAAAGACACAAAAATGCATAACTCCTATCATACTGAACAGAACCCCCACATTCAACCTATCCCCAGATGGCTTGGATCTGAGCGCTCAATATATCCAAATAGCGCTCAGATCCCACAAATACAGTCAAATCGCCATACACACTAGGTCCATAGTCATGGGGCAGAAGGTTGGCAATTAGGCTTCTCCATAACACAGGGAAGCAGGGCAATTTGTCAAATAAAATAACAGTTACAAATGGCAGTTTGTAAATAGGGGTGCAGGAGAGGAAATTGGGAGGGGGAAGAGAAATTAGGAGAGAGGGAGAGATATCAGGAGGAGGGAGAGATATTAGGAGGGGGTGAAAGAGAAACTAGGGGAGAGAAATAGAAAATTAGGGGAGAGAAATCTGAAATTAGGAGGGGGAGAGAAATTGAAATTAGGAGGGGGGGTAGAGAAATTAGGAGGGGAAAGAGATATTAGGAGGGGGGAAAGAGAAATTAGGAGGGGGGGGTGAGAAAGAGAAATTGGGAGGAGGAGAAGGAAATTGGAGCGGGAGGAGAGATTGACATTCATCACATACACACAATGCACCCCTTGCACACAGAAAAACACACAATGCATTACACACACAGACACACATACACAAGCAATGCAACCGCTACACACAATGCATCCCTTACACACACAGAAACACACAATGCATTCATTACACACACTCAATGCACCCCTTACACACATTCAATGCATCCCATACATACACAGAAACACACCTTGCAGCCCCTACACATACAAACACAATTTCACACAATGCATTCCTTACACACATATCAGGACATCCCCTACACACTCCACCCCCTGTGAACAAACTCATTGGTGGAACATGAAGGTGGACCCTGGGACCCAGACCATGAGCTGTGTAAAGGACCCCCCAAAAAATGGAGCTGCTTCCCGTTCTCCCAGAACATTGATTTTTGTGACCACAGTTACAAACCGCCTCCAGAGAGCCTGTTCTGTACCAGACCAGTGGAGCTAGACTGCAGCTAGAGCCCATCATCATCCTCATCTGGTTGCAGGGCAGGCAATCAGTATATTATTCGTGGCAATTCAAGCTTCCACTCCTACCTCACATTAAAGAAACACTGATAGTCCCCAGAACCACTTCAGCCAATGTAGTGGTTCTGGTGTCTATAGCCTGTTCTTGCAGGCCTTTAATGTAAACACGGGCGGCACTGCAGCACTGGCGCTAGTTAACATGGCAAAATCATATGGGTGGGGTAATTGTGGATGTCGCTACGTGGGCTATTGGGCGGCAAACTTTACTTTTGCCTAGGGTGGCAAAAATCCTTGCACCGGTCCTGGCTGGAGGGGGCTGTGTGAGCTGTGGCCGCACAGTGTCCCATGGTAGTTAGGGTGCCGTGCGGCCAGTACAGCTCACACAAGCAAACAGCTGATAAACTGGGCGCACGGAGGAAATGTGTATGTGTGACTGTCTGCCTGTGACTGTCTGCCTGTAACTGAGTGTGTGACTGTCTGTCTGTAACTGAGTGTGTGACTGTCTGCCTGTAAATGTGTGTGTGGGGCTGCAGGGATTTTGTAGAAGGGGGCGGGGTTTTGTATTGGGATAGGAGTCTTTATAAGGGGGGATAAGCAGGGGATTTGTGGAAGGGGGTTGCGGGGGTTTTGTAGACGAGGCAGTACAGGATTTGTAGAAGGGAAAGGACAGAGGTTTTGTAGGAGGGGCAGGACAGGACAAGGGTTTTGTAGGAGGGGCTGACAGCGGTTTTGCAAAGTTTACAAATTATAAAAAAAAAAAAGAGAACCTTTAAAAACTTTACAGGTTTTTTGTTTTGGGGGAGGGGAGAGGGGCCAAGCACAGGATCCGCCTCGGGTGCCAAATGCTCTAGGTACGCCCCTGCCTACAGTAGCTCTAATGTGTCATCAAAGCAGACAGGCTAGCCTTCGCTCTCCACATGCATCTTGGGAACCCATGACTCTGACGCTAATTCATCGGTTGTCACCGGTTGTCATTTTGATAGGTACCAACCACTGCATACCGGGGACACTCCACAAGACTTGCTGTTTTGGATATGCTCTGACCCAGTTGTCTAGCTATCACTACTTGGCCCTTGTCAAAGTCACTTAGATCTTTTTGATTGCCAGTTTTTCCTGCTTCCAGCACATGAAATTCAAGAACAGACTGTTCACTTAATGCCTAATAAATCCCATCCCTTGACAGGTGCCATTGTAATTATATAATCAATGTTATACGCTTCACCTGTCAGTGGTTTTATGTTGTGGCTGATCAGTGTTTTTACATGTATACACACAAAACACATTCGTTAGTACACTCACAAATGCAGAGAACACTTGTATCTAAAACATACATTAACCTAACACAAATAAAGAAATACCACATGTTTTATCCAAAAACACACATTACAAAAAAATACATACATATTTTAGACCATGACCCATATGGGGACATAACTGAAAACATTGAAACCCTCGGTAGCTCATAAGGTATAATATGACATCTCTGGACACCAATTCCTATATCAG